ATTCGAACCTGCCACCTTAGGTGTATGTGGCTGGCGCCTTAGCCACTTGAGCCACAGGCGCCGAGCTGGGATCTATTATTCTTCCTGTAACAAGTGGTATAGTTTGACCATCTCTAATCTCAAATCTGAAATGTTCCAAAATATGAACCATTTTGAGCACCAACATAATGGTGGAAGTGGAAAATCCTACACCTGACTTCATGTGATGGGTCACAGTCAAACTTTATTTCATGCATAAAATTACTATAAATAATCATATAAAATTACCTTCAGGCTATGTATGTGTGAAATATGAGGTACGTATGAAACATAGCCAATTTTGTGGTTAGACTTGTGATCCATCCCCAAGATATCTCATTACATATATACAAATATTCCGAAATCCAAAAAAAATCCAAAATTTGAAATATTTGCTGTCTCAAGCATTTTGGATAAGGACTATTCAACCTGTATGCTTGAGTTTGAGTTCTTCTCAAAACCCAGAAACGTCTGGGTTTTGCTCTTCATTAGCTTGTTTTTGAAACTTTATACATTCCCCCCTATGGAAAGACTGGGTGAGAATAACCTCATGTTAAGATTTTAAGGAAGAATGTTGTATTCTTTTTTTGAGATGCACTTTTATTCTATTGCCCAGGCCAGAGTGTAGTAGTGTTATCCTAACTCATTGCAGCCTCTAACTCTTGGGCTGAAGGGCTTAAGAGAGCCTCCTGCTTCAGCCTCCAAGTAGCTGGGAATATAGGAATACATCACCAAGACTGGCTGATTTTTACATTTTTCGTAGAGATTAGGTCTCACTATTGTCCAGGTTAGTCTGGAACTCCTAAGCTCAAGTGATCCTCCCACTTTTGCCTCCCGAAGTGCTGGGATTACAGGTGTGAGCCCCCATATTGCCTAGCCATATTGTTGTATTTTGTAAGATAAAAATATAAAGTTGCTTTTGTTTGAAAGTTCGAGGTTGTATAGAGGTCTGTTTGTGGACTAAGTGGACCATCCCAGTTATTAAGCCCTTGTGTCTCAGCTCCAAACTACCCTTTTATACTCTATATTCATCTCTCTGATGCTGCAGTCAGTCTCCACAGACAACAGTTCTTTGCTTCGTGGCTGCCTATATGTTCTGCCAGTAGAGATGCTGGAAGGCAGGAGGAAGGAGAGGGGACTTGTTGATTGCCTGTAGTTCCTCCCACACTATCTTCAGTGACCTTTCTACCTTTTAGGCAGTTAGAGGATTCTGGAATTATGAGCATTTCCTTGGGAAAGTCTGCAAATGTTGTTCCACGTTTTTTAGCACCCAATGAAGGATACGTAATTACTTTATCTCTGTTATGGAAGCTTGGAGATAAGACTCTCACGAGTATAGAACTTACTTTATTACTTCTCCCTGACATTTTTTAAGCCCACAGAATCTGAAACTCAAGCCTTTTTCTTTCTTTCTTTCTTTTTTTTTTT